TGTGTACACACAGTAGTTTCTGACAAAGAGAAGTGTAGACGAATTTCTAAATGGTCTTATTAAATAAAAAACATAGAGCCAGAAATTTGGGTTAAGGCCTGAGAGAAAGATCAGAGGAATAGGACAAACCACAAGCTAACCTCACCTCACCAACTCTGCAGCTTCCAAAAAGGAGCGACTTCCTGTCTACTCAAGCTTATATACCTTCCTGTTCTGCCATCTGATTTGCTCTCTGTCTAGCTACATCACTTCCTCTTCCTGGCCAGCTCTGTCACTTCCTGTGTGTACAGGCCTCCAGAACTCTATGGTTGGTACTAGGATTAACCATGTGTGTCACCACACTTGGCTCTGTTTCCTAGTGTGGGCTTGAACTCACAGAGATCCAGACAGATCCCTGTCTGCCAGGTAAAGGATTAAGGGTGTATGCTAACATTACATGACTTCTGTGTTGTGGCTGACTTTTTCCTCTGATCTTCAGGCAAGCTTTATTTATTAAAGCACAAATAAAAATATCACCACATTTCAGCACAAATATCACCACATTTCAGCACAAATAAAATATCACCACAGAGAAGTGCTGAAGGTTGCTGCCAGTTTTGATTAATATATGCCTCTAACTATCAGACTCACTCTATTTTCTAACCCAACAGATACCTGTTTCCAAATAAAAGCCAAGACATTGACAGAAAACAGACAGCTTCTTTTAGTTTAATTTCTTTAAACTGTGTTCCTTAGTCTCAGCTGGACTCTTCATAACTATATTATTCAGTTCAGCAATGTAAAGTGGTGGTTGGACAGATGAATCCACTTACATTCTGCCAGATTCAGTGTTTGAAATTAGGGAGATTGAAAAGACTATGAACACTGAGAAAGGCATCTGTATGAGTCTTTGGGTCTGACTTTATCATTAGTTCTGCTATTAGAAAATAAGACTTGGCAATTTATAAACAGCATAAACTTATTTCTCACGATTGTGTCATCCAGGAAATCTAAAATGAAGGTTCTGACAAGTTCTGTGTCTAGTGAGGGAATGGTGTCTGTCTCCAAGATGGCACCTTGAAGCCTGTAGTCTTGTACAGCAAAAGGTAGAAGAGTGGAAAGGGACCTAGACTAGTTTTTCTAGCTTTGTTTGTTTACTTGAGACAGCGTTTCATTATGTATCCCCGGCTGTCCTGGAACTCGAAATGTAGACCAGGCTGGCCTGGAACTCATAGATAAACACCTGCCTCTGCCCCCCAAGTGCTGGGGCTAAAGGAGTGTGTCACCACATCTGGTTTGTTTCAGTTTTTTGATGATAATCCCCATGTAAGTCAATCACTTCCCCAAAGGACCTGTCCCTTATCACTAATCTTCGTGCTTGTCTCCACAAGTTAAGTTCTGACTCATGAATGAGGAGCACAGAGTCTCTAGGCTCATCTCTGTTCTAGCAGAGGGGGAAGTACTTCATCAGTTCTTTGTTTCCCTCTTGGAGATTATCTTCAGGGACTGTCCATATGGTTCTTCTAACACCCAGGACTTTAAGGTTGTAAGGTAAAGACCTTATAACAAATAAAACTGAAGATCAAATTTGATTAAGTGTAATCTTTATCCTTTGTTTGGATGTTTAATATAGGAGTTTTGGTCAAATACCGTCTCTTTTCTTATTGGATTCAACCACCTCAAATAATTCTTTTAGTAATCTGTTTGTAGTATTCATAATCGTCATGAGCATTGTCTTCATTTTCGCTGGAAGTGGGGGCAGAGTTTGTGAGAGACATTTCCGGATGAGAGCAGAAGTCAGCGGGTCGTAGTAGCTCAGTGTAGGGAAGGTATTTTCTAAGAGAGCTGCACAGATGCAAAAGGAGCTTGTCTCAAGTGAGATGACTCATGCTGTCTGATGCTCAGTTTTGCGGTGTGAAGAAGAGGACAGGCAGTGACACCTCACAGAGTTGCTGTCATGTTTAAATGAGTTAGCCCAAGTTAGACCTGGTGGCCTTTTGTCCCTACTACTCAGGAGGCTTAGGCGGCAGGTTTGCCTACTTAACAAAACCAGAGAAATGTTAACCCAGCAGAATACTATGCTCTCAGACTCAAACCTGGAAAATCCATGTACATAGAAAGTGAAATGAAGTCTGTTTTCTCTCCTGAACTTTATATCTGTATGTTGTTCCTATCCAGCCCAGAACATAGACACGTACAGACATACACACACACATAGACACACAGAAACACAGACACACACAGAGATATACAGACACACACATACAATTACACACACACACACACACACACACACACACACACACACACACACACGAGTATGTGGGCTGCTTTGGCGGGAAGGTTCAATATGAAATTGTTGGATTGGAGATTTTCCAGCTAAGATTTGTAATTATAGAATCAGGTTCAGCTTGGGTGTCTTTTTGTTCTTTCTATAATTAAATACATGGCTTTGGGCAAATTGCTAATTTATGAAATTGAGAAATACTAATGATTATCTAACCCTGTTATTTAAAGAAGAAATAGATTGTTACAGAAGTAAGCACGATGACGACAGAGGTTTGTCTGTATTGTCTACTGAGCTGCTGTGTCAATGAGCACCCGACACAGATAGGTTTTCAGTAAGCATTTGGTGAGCAGCTGAGGGTTTGATAAATAGTAGCTGTTACCGTCCTGCTTTGGCAATTCTTTTCAGTGCACAGTGGTTTTCTTGGGCAGATTTGTATTTTCCAAAACTCATAGATTATTTCTCCAATGATGATTCTCAATCATTTAAGTATAAATTCAGAAGGGACCCCATGAAGAACTGGTTAACTAATATCATTTCCCAGGCAAATTAACTATTGCCAGTGATTAAGTGAGGCTGGTTGTTGGGGATTTTACCCAGGTATCTAGAGTCTCCCCGGAAAACAATATATAGATTTAGATTTCCCATGATTGGTGTAGCTTTCATGTGTCTGAACTGAGAAATTCAAGTCCATGTGCAGGCTGGGTCTCTCAGCAACTCCAAACACTGTTGCTAAGTCACCAGGTGCTTCAGATGACCTTTAAATCAGATGCAGTTTGCTCCTCATGTGGCTGCAGGGACTTCTTTGTTTTGCAAATACTGGAGCATTTCCTGTCTGGGTTGAGCCTGTCAAACTGGAGCAAAGACGAAGGCTGTTGGTTCTCTCAAGAGAAGCCAACCTTTATTTTGAACAAAACCAAAAAAGCATGTTTTTGGTATAAGTTTTTCTCTTTCAAGAAGGATATTAGTAGGTTACAATAAAGCATTTTTTTAAGAGAAGTATATGATAGAAAGGGGAATTTAAAGTTGTATTTCAAACAATGGAAAAGGGAAATTAAAGCTGTATTTCAAACATGTTTACATTTAACATGCCTCAATGTTTATTTTCTAATTCAATTTGTGCAGTGCCTTTATCTATAAAAGGCTGATGGACTTAGTATTCTGACTAACTTTTTATGAGAAACACTTTTGAATGCATTTTCATGATTTGCTTCCCTCCTGGAGGTATTATCACTTCCTATGCTTACAGTATGTGATAATACTCACAAGAACTGGACATTTGTGTGGTATGTTATAGTTGGTGCCTTATTTCCACATGCATTATTCAAATTTGACCCCATAACATCTGTGTGAGAGAGAGTTTTGAAAACATTTCTTTTCTGTAGTATGCCTAGGAATTGAGGCTCCCGGAAGTTAGGTAGCTTAGTAAGGATTTGAAATATAACATTGATGTTCTTCCTGCTTCTGCACACAGTTGAAAGCTCAGATGTGTGTTTGTATCGGTCATTTATGTGGCCTCTGTTCTTCTATGTCAGAAAGTGCTGAAGAGGGTATGTGTTCATGAACCTGCAAACAGATCTCCATGGGGGACATCCGGTACGAAGCACAGATAATCTGATATCTAATTTCCTTAAGTGTTTGTTTGGCTCCTACTGTGAACCACACCTGGTTCTAAAAACCAGAGATAGAGCAATAGAAGAACCCCAAATCCTTAACCCGGTGGAGTCCTGGTTTGACAGGTGATAAAACAAGGCAGTTTCAGCAAATATGCTAAAGAGAAAGAAGGTAAGCCAGGAAGGAGGTTAATGATGTAGATAGAGGTGGAGGTTCGGGTCCTGTCAGTAGTTCATGGTAGAGATAATGGAGACTTGGATTGTGGTGTGGGAGTCATGTGAGAAGGAGTCAGATTCTGGATATATTTTTAAGAGATGGCTGACAGGTCTGGTGACAGATTGGGTGTCAAATGAAGACTAGAGAATGACAGCAAACCCTTGACCTGAGCAACTACAAAAGTTGCCATTAATGGGGACTAAGAAAATGAAGGGAGGGGCTGGTGAGGAGTTGAGGAATATAAACTCACTTTGGACCTGGTATACTTGAGATGTGTAAGTAGATGTCCATGTTAAACATGCCATGTAAGTAGTTGAATTTTGATAATAAAGTACAGACCATTGAATTGGCACAGTTAGGTGGTACATATGCTTGCAGTGTCTTGGCAGTAGAAAATCAGTGATAATCTATAGTATTTGAATGGACCATTGCAGAAGATAGGTGTTTAATATTTTTAGGAGGCAGGTAAATACTCTTACTTGCTTGTGATGGTTACTTGAGCACTCCAGCCACACCTCATGGATCTTTGTCATGCTTCATATAGGCCTTCTACTTTGGGCTGAATCAGCAGCTGAGATGGGGAAAGGCCTGAACTTTGCTTTGTATTTTCCTAGTAAAAATAAATACATTCTCTTGGCTATTATTGTTTTATGAATCCCAGCATAGCTCCTGTGATGGGATACATCAACTGCTAAGTTGACACAAATCTACTCCCCTAAGAAGAGGGAACCGCAGCGGAAGAGTTGCTTTGATCAGATTGGCCTGTAGGTATATGTGAGCTGCACATTACTGATTGCTAATTTGTATAGGAGGGCTAAGCACAATTTAAAGATGTTACAACTAAAATGGATACTATAGTAAAAGCATTTATGTGGTAGCATATTTAACGACAACACTTCCGAACCATTTTCTGATGGTGAGTTTATTAACATACAAAGCATTAAAATGGAGAGCATCATGCAAGTCATTGTTAAGATGCTGAATTTCCTAAGGGCCAAAGGATTCAATTGCCAACTGCAGGAATTCCTTGAAAGTGTTAATGCTAACTATGGTGATGTCATTTACTTTTCAGAAGCAAGATAGCTAAGTCGTGAGCAAATACTGAGTAGATTTCATAACTGATGAGGTATTATCAAATCATTTATGCTATCAAAAAAAAAAATTGTACCAGGACTTGATGATGGAAACTGGCTTATAGATTTAACATTTTTAACAGACTTAACCACTCATTCAAATGAGTTAAATATACATCTTCAAGGTGAAAACTAACTTACCAATCAATACAGTTTTCAAATTACAATAGTGTTCTGATGGAAACTGAAATTATAGCAAGCTCAAATTGAAAGCAAGCACTTCTATGCATTTCAGTACTCTGGCAAAACAATCCCATAAACTGCAAAAAGTGTATAGCTTTGTATGTCAATTTGACACAAAAATTTGAAAACAGATTTCAAGCTTTCAGGAGACATATTTGGCATACTTATGACACAGTATTCAGTCCACATGTTTCCTGCCAACTTTCAAACAGTTCGTGGGACTGCAACACTCAACTTAAAGAAAAATAAGACCACATGTGTTTAGGAGACTTTCAGGGTCCTGTGGTCTGTTCCTCACAATCACGCCTTATGCCTATTACTGCTTTTTGTTGTTGTGAGCACTTAAGTTATAAGCAATTCTTTACAAGAATGAAGCACACTGAGAACTAAAACCAAAACATCCAATGAGTACCACGAGTACTTCCATCAAACCTGCTATTAACGCATTCCTTTAAAAAAAAAGGCGTCTAAAATCCCACTAGTCTCATGTTGTCCTCTTCTCTTTTGCATTTATAACAAATAAATGTGTTTTGTTGAAATAATAGGAAGCATCAAGCACCAAGAAACTCTTTAATGTGACCAAGTAGATCCTCAGACCAAACCTCCCAACTTGTTCATATTTTCAGGCTTATGCACAAAGAATGTTTCTCATATTGTATTTGAATGCGGTCATAGAGAACTGACAACCTTAATTTTTCTTGTTTCCCTCACTTCAGCAATGGTGACCTGGACCCATGGTCAGGAGGTGGAGTTACCGAAGATCTCTCCGATACCCTGGTGGCAGTCAACATCCCAGATGGGGCCCACCATTTAGACCTGCGACCCAGCACTGAGACGGACCCACCATCCTTGCAGTTGGCCCGCTCTGTGGAACTCAGACACATGAAGCAATGGGTCTCAGATTTCTACGGCAATTACAGAAAGCAGCCCTGAGCAACTTTTCAAAATCACTTTTACTTTCTTCTTTTATGTTCGCTCCACCCACATATCCATTCACTTTGATTTTTTTTATATGTAATTACTTTCCCTCATTTGTCATTGTATTTGTTGGGCCAAGGTCGAGACAGAAGACCGTGACAGGGGTGGGCGCAGCCATCCCACCCAGGTGACTGCTCCGTCCTCACTGCCTTTGTGCCATCTCCAGGAAGAACGCCATCCTGGCAGCTCTGATGCCATCAGAACTGGCATGGTTCCTGACTGTCTTTCACCAGGAGAGCCACTTTTCTCCCAAGCGGGGATGTCTCCTCGGTTTTGAGAGTGAAGTCTCTCTGGCCCATTGTAAGCCCCCATTCCTGCCACAAAAGGAAAAGCAGAAGCTGGATTAAAAACGCTGCAGCTGCGGCTGGTGGGCTGTGTGATGCCAGTCCAGGAAAGGGCCGCTTCCTGTGAGCTCCATGACTGCCTTTGAACTGCAATAAAGAACAAGGCAGACCTACCTGTGTGTTGCTCCCATCTCGTCCAGCTGTTGGGAAGGCAGTGTGCCTGGGCTGGCTGCTTTCGGGAAGTCCTTTCTTTTTCTCTTTCCCCCTTGGCAGCCTTCCTTAGTTCTGGGATATCTGCCACCGTGCTGCAGCCAG